GCGCCAAATTATGTAGCACCGGCATTCTTTTCGTAGACCCACCATCTCTGTCTTCCTAGATCTGAAAGTGGCTTTCGACTCAGTCGACCGATCTAAACTTTGGCACTGCCTTTCCCTGAAAGGGAAAGGGTCACATAGGTCCTGTTAGGCTCTGACTGGGGACCTCGGGATGATCGTAACCGATGGTTAGAGACACTGAGTGATATGGCTGGGTGTTGCAAACAGTGGCGTTCTTGCATCTTCTCAATTTCTTTGCAACCTTAGACCACTGAACTTCCCCATTTTCTATTCCACTCCACTTTCAACTTTCCTTTCTTCTATTCTTTATCCAAATAGGCCGTAAAGGACAGCGACCAAAATCGGCACACGAATATGCGTGATTGATGGTTGTACAAACTGAAAACTGAAACTACGCTACATTTCACGAGTCTGGTAAAGTATCGGGACGTGTCATACGAAGTTTTAGTGCATATTGTTAGGTTGCCTGCCGTAGTGATTGCCCGACCTCCGTAAGTTGCGTTGATTAAGGCACTAAATGGACTGCCACGGCGTGTGGTGTTCGCCGAGGTGGTTAATGAGTGGAAATAGCCAATGATGGTCAAGCCAAAGCGTAGAATGTAGGTATGGAGACTCCGGCCAGGTCGGATTTGAGTGGGGACCTCGGGTTGAGTGTCATAGAAAGAGACAGTGATATGACCGAGTGTCGTAGTGTCAGTTATAGTTATACTCAATTTCCTTGAAAACGTAGTGTACCAGAATTCTCTGTTTTCATATCGGCACTGATTCCGACATTCCAGTATTCCACACTGGGTATCCCCCAACTTTCTCAGACCTCTTGACGCACGTCAATCCCGGCAGTCAGCGAGTATACTGAGCAGTTTCACTCTGAAACGTGAATTCAAAAAGAGCTTAAGAGACGACCCAGAAGCGCTAAGTGCATAGGAGATGGAATCAACTGCGTGGTGTGGAAACACCCGGCAACTGTTCCAGCTCATCCATGCTACTGGCCCGCAAAGACGGTAAGTGGAACGATTTATGAAGTAGATGGCACGTCAGTGTAGTCTTCGCCGACGCTTGGAACGCTGGACAGCAACTCACATCGCAGTTCAGCCAGCCTCCGACACTGACTGCCTCAAGCAGTTCTCTTGAGAGTGCACCTTGCTCACTATCTACGGAAAATCCCAAAGAATCAGAGATTCGAAAGGAACTTCATCCCTGAAACGCCACAGGGTATCTGGATCAGACAGCCTTCCACCGGCCTTCTTTAAAGGTGGTAGAAAAGCTCACGGAAAAGAGCTTACCAAACTGTTTTCGAAGATCTGGGAGAACGAAACTCTGCATATGGGGGAAATCGGTTGTTTCATTCATCTATGGGAAGGGTTGTCGCAATACCTGTTGCAACCACGTGCGTAAGCCTGGTTCCTATGGCATCGAAGCTGATAGTATCCGTTTTCTCAAGCAGACTAAGCCCATTTGGCGAAAGACATCCGCGAAGAGCGGGCCCGGTTTCGTGCGTGCAGTGGTTGCATATGTCCAATCTTCACCCTTCGTCAGCTGCTAGAACACCGCCATACAGTCAACGAAAGACTGTCGTGTTTTTGGACATCAAAAAGGCCTTCAACTCCATCGATAGCCCTGCGCATGTCGTGCTTCTAAAAGTAGTCTACCGTCAAACCTCGAGTAAGGTTAGGGCCTATGGTGAACTTTCATTTCTCGTCACCAGTGGGGTACGACAGGGTTGCCCTATCTTTCCGTTTTTCTTCAACTTTGCCATAGGTGATGTTTTGCAAAAAGTGTTACTTAACATAACTAACGCTGGCATCGGGCTTCTTCCTGGGCACAGAGTCGTAGACTTGGAGGATGTCCGTGGTATCGATGACAACGAAATCTCCCAACGCGTAATCGAAACTAGGTCAGCGTTTGTTAATCTGCGGCATCTCTGGCGCCGGTGCTACATACCCTTTTCAGTAAAGGGGCGTGTATTGTTCAACGGTGCGCGCCGTGTTGCTCTATGATTGCGAAACTTGGCTTCTCCGAGAAGTTCGTGTCCAACGATTATCCGTCTTCGTTAACCGCTGTATGGGCAACATCGCTCGCGTATGATGAGA